CGGCATGTGCAGAAGGCCCTGCCCTGACGCCCTGGTTTCAGCAAGTCCACGTATTGTTCGTGGTGACGAATGTTGATTCAATAGCAATGACGTGATGAAGCATTCTAGTTAGTCCAGTGTCTATAGGGTATGGTACTAGTAATTATATCGCGTACCCTAAAGCAGTCACATTTGTGTTTTGGTTTGGAACACACTCATCGTAGCCAGAGAGCATGAAGCTCGCTGGGAGTTGAGCAAAGCAGCGATTATTTAGTTTGTGAAGAAGGTGAGACGGTATTTATGAAAGCGAGGTACTTAGACAGACATAAGGTTTAAAAAATAAGTGGAGAGCTTAGTTTTATTTAAAAGGGAAATGGGAGTACTACTTTTTGAGAATGTGGTTTTTCATCACCCTGACCATACAGCAGCTCTTCTTGCAGACTAAAAAGCAGTAGGGTAGTTCAGCACCCCCTGGTGGTCATTTATGGGAAAAGCTTTTAACAGGTATATTGGCTGACTGACATTCATGTTTTGTTTTTTGTATTTTTTAAAGTGTGTATTTCTGCTGGTTGATAATGTTATTTAAACAAAAGTCGAGGTACAATGTGCTTGATTATTAATTATGTGTTAATCATACAGTCAGACTTCAATATCTAGGGCTGCATGCATGAGTCTCAGTTACAGTACATTCTCACAACTCAACTTTTTGTTTTTTCAACAGCCACCTTTCAAGTTCACAGATTGGGTGATAAATCCTACATTTATTTCTAAAATACACAGGGAAAGGGCAGACATACTCGACACCTGGAAATTAAAGGCCAATCCAACTGCAAACAGTTGACAGCTCCCATTCAAAGTATCATACAAAAATTGTAAAAACTAATGAAATAAAATATAATACAAAAATACTAATACAGTGTATCAATAGTAAATGGAAATATGCCTCAACAGTCATCACACACTGTATATGAAACATACAAACTCAAAAAGTCTAAAAGGCCCACATACATGTGTAGAATTTGTCTGGTGAAACCTAGTGGTAGTATGTAGTAGCTACCCACAGTGACTGACATTAATTGAACTCCACTCTGACTGACCTCCTGTGTAATGATATGAAACATTTCAACACAAACTGAGCATGACTGTTTGGACTGACTGTATTTGCAGTTCCTGTTTTCACATCGCCGTAAACAGAGCTCTTCTCTGGTTCATGTTGCTTCCTGTTAAAATAATCAGACAAATCCGTAAAGAAAAAGGGAAAAAAATCAATACTTTAATACACTTTAGGCCAAAACAATTAGTACTCACCTTTTTCAAATGTTTTTAAGTTCGGTGGAAGAATACGCAACATCTTGAGATTCATCTGCATTTGAAATATACATAATTTTTAGTTAGTAGGATTTATATCAATCACTTGTAATCAGTCCCCTTAAACCATGCACTTATAACTGCCACTGAAAAAACACTATTTCTAAATTAGAGAGATAATCTTACATTTCATAGTGTGGACTATGTTTGACTTAAATGTCACTTAGCTTGTCTTAATTAACACTTTTATCTTATTTGGGGTTATCTTTAGCTTTAGATACAAGGGGCATATGTGTTACAGGACTGTGTGACATGGGCTGCAGACAAAATGATGTAGACACATTCATGAAAAAGGACTAACTTCTAAGTCATTCCATTATTATTTATATTGATATTTTTTACAATGTCCAATGTTCATAAACAAGACTGAAGTGTCATTCACACCAAGATCAATGCAACAATAACGATAACAGTGTGAGCATCCACACTGATGAAAGATAACTTTGTGTAAACAGTGGCCCCCAGCATGCAGGAACTAAACAGGAGAATGTATATTGATAATACTGAGAAACAAAAAGAAAATCAGAAGGATATGGGTCCACAGAAATCTTCAAAAACGAGGAGTTAAGACAGCGGTGAGCAACATTTACTCTCAAAATAGCAATTTTGTAAATAAAAGAAAAAGAAAATGTAATGAAACCATACTCTGTATAGTGATGTTCACTGCATCACTCTGCCGGTAGCTTCGTGTGTCGGATCGACATGACCGGGAGCTGGTTTCAGTAAACCTCACTCTCCATTCAGCAGAGTTTCCCTCACCGTTCAGTGAGAGGGACAGTTTGTCAGGACGCGCTGTGAAAGACAATGATGAATGAAAATCTGAAAACCAACATAATGAGGGGTCAAACACAGCTCTGTGATCTTAAGATCGAAAATGCCACAATGCAAACATCCCTCTGCTTCATTTTTAATTTGCTGAGGATTAGTGCAAACACTGCAACAAAATGCAGCGTTTTGGTGAAACTAGGATTTCTATGTTGAGTTGAGTAATTAATTTAAATGATAGACAAAGTGGCAACAGCAGTTCTCAGTATACTCAAATGTGCTGCATTGTCTCTCTATACACAGTCAGTGTTT